GAGGCAGGAAGCTAGCCAGTCGGAAGACCGGCGCTCCCCACCCATGCCACAGGGGATTTCTGAACTCACACAAGGAAGAGCAGGCTAGCGGCAGAGTTGGGCTCGGACAGTAGGCAACCTGTGCACAGCTGCGAGTCCATGTGGTTGCTCTCCCTAGCTTGGCCATCTCTCTGTTTATCTTTTGATGGTGTTTATCCTCCGTCAACTTCCCAGACTTTTGGTACTTGTGCAAACGTATACCACAGGCAAAGACCAAGACTGACTTGGGGCAAGAATTCTTACATGTTCTGGCTTAGTTTCAGGGTGCCCAGCCAGAACCCAGAGCCCATACATGCTAGAGAAGGGCTCTGCCACTGAGCTCTGCCCCCAGACCCTCTAGGAGCTGTCTAAAAGGAAATGTGGTTTCTGGGACGCTGACAGCCAGATTTATAGTTGGTTTCTAGGACACTGACAGCCAGATTTATAGTTCCTAAGCCACAGACAGGAGGCTTTTTTCCTGGAGAAATTGACTGACAAGTCCAAGAGAAAGATCCTCCAGATGGTGATATTTGGAGATTTCCCAAGAAAATAGTGACCCCCACCAGCCAACCTTCACTGGAGACCAAATGGCAGTTTCCTACCTTCTTCCTTGCCACCTTCTAAAATAGGGGTTTGGGTGGCATCTTAATCTTCCTCCAGTTACCTGAGCAAAAACTGATGTTAACAGAACCAAACAAACAGGAAATAAAAACCGCGACAGAGAGTAAAAGAAAACCTAAAAAGTAATCCTCAGAAAAGAAGATTTCATGTCCGTGAAACTAGAGCAAGAAGCTATGAAGAAGAAACATGCAGAAAGTAGAAGGACAGCCTTTAGAGATGAAAGAAATACAACTATTGCAATTGATAATCTCATGGAAGGGGAGATAGTAAAAGAGAGTTGAAAAACATCTCAAGAGATGGACAATGAGAGAGCCAAGCTGAAATAGATGAGCTTAAGAGGTCTGACATCCACATAATAGGGGTTCCAAGTATGTTAGTTAGCTTTCTGTTACCATGACAAAATGCCTAAGCCAGTGAACTTTTACAAAGGAAATGCTAGAACTGGGCATGGTGACGCACACACTTGGGAAGCTGAGGCAGGAGGATCGCCATGAGCTCGAGGCCAGTCTGAGCTACATAGTGAGTTCAGGGCCTGTTTATAAACTACATAATGAGACCCTGTCTCAAAAAAGAAATACAAACAAACAAAAACATTAGGAGGGCATTGGGTGAAAAATGAAGAATCAAAATACATCATGCATAGGTACAAATTCCCTGTAATGAATGTGATCATTATGTATATATAAAGTGTACCAATAAAACTGATTTTTAAAAAGTAAGGA